GGACCAATCTACACAGGAGGTCCACTTCCTAGACACCATGGTACAAATAAGTGATAGTCACGTTAACACCACCCTATACCGAAAACCCACCGACTGCTATGCCTTCCTTCATGCCTCCAGCTTCCATCCCGGACACACCACACGATCCATTGTCTACAGCCAAGCGCTGAGGTTATAACTGCATTTGCTCCAATCCCTCAGAGTTGGAAGGAGACCAACACCTACAAGATCTTCACCAAGCATTCTTAAAACTACAATACCCGCATGAGGAAATAAGGAAACAAATCAACAGAGCCAGATGTGTACCCAGAAGCCTCCTGCTGCAAGACAAGTCCAAGAAAGAAACAAAAAGAACTCCACTGGCCATCATCTAGAGTCCTCAGCTAAAACCTCTCCAACGCATCAGTAGTGATCTACAACCCAGACAACGATCCCTCGCTTTCGAAGCCCTTGGGAGGCAGACCAGTCCTCGCCCACAGACAACCCGCCAACCTTAAGCATATTCTCACCAGCAACCACACACCGCACCATAGTAACTAACTCAGGAACCAACCCATGCAACCAACCTCGATGCCAATTCTGCCCACATATTTATACCAGCGACACCATCACAGGACCTAACCAGATCAGTCACAACATCACCGGTTCGTTCACTTGCATGTCCACCAATGTAATATTACGCCATCATGTGCCAGCAATGCCCCTTTGCTATGTACATCAGCCAAACTGGAGAATCCCTACATAAAAGGATAAGTGGACACAAGCCAGATATTAGGAATGGCAATATACAAAAACCTGTATGAGAACACTTCAATCTCCCTGGCCACACAATAGCAGATTTAAAGGTAGCCATCTTACAGCAAAAAAAACTTCAGGACCAGACTCCAAAGAGAAACTGCAGAGCTTCAGTTCATTTGAATGGCTGTGAATGGCTAGCCAACTACAAAAGCAGTTTCTCCTCCCTAGGTGTTCACACCTCAACTGCTAGAAGAGGGCCTCATCCTTCCTGATTGAACTAACCTCGTTATCTCTAGACTGATTCTTGCCTGCATGTTTATACCTACCTCTGGAAATTTCCACCACATGCATCTGATGAAGTGGGTATTCACCCACAAAAAGCGTATGCTCCAATACTTCTGTTAGTCTATAAGGACTAGCCAAAGGACTGTCACTTTTTACAGATCCAGACTAACACGGCTACCCCTCTGAAACATTATTCTATAATCAAGGGTCCTGTGGCACCTTTAAGGCTAACAGAAGTATTGGGAGCATAAGCTTTCGTGGGTAAGAACCTCACTTCTTCAGATGCAAGTAATGGAAATTTCCAGAGGCAGGTATAAATCAGTATGGAGATAACGAGGTTAGTTCAATCAGGGAGGGTGAGGTGCTCTGCTAGCAGTTGAGGTGTGAACACTAAGGGAGGAGAAACTGCTTCTGTAGTTGGATAGCCATTCACAGTCTTTGTTTAATCCTGAGCTGATGGTGTCAAATTTGCAAATGAACTGGAGCTCAGCAGTTTCTCTTTGGAGTCTGGTCCTGAAGGTTTTTTTGCTGCAAGATGGCTACCTTTACATCTGCTATTGTGTGGCCATGGAGGTTGAAGTGTTCTCATACAGGTTTTTGTATACTGCCATTCCTAATATCTGACTTGTGACCATTTATCCTCTTGCGTAGTGACTGTCCAGTTTGGCCAATGTACATAGCAGAGGGGCATTGCTGGCACATGATGGCATATATAACATTGGTGGACGTGCAAGTGAATGAGCCGGTGATGTTGTAGCTGATCTGGTTAGGTCCTGTGATGGTGTTGCTGGTGTAGA